AATTTCCCCTGCTCTGCTGTGCTCTAGAGATCTCTGAGGCAGAGCTATAACATCTTTAAACAGCAACAGCCACTTGCAAAGTAAAAGCGTGAGTGCTTTTAAACATGGGGGTTGTAGTTTAGTTATTTTTGTATTGAATGTCCCAGGACCTCACAAATGAAGCACTGTATTTAAAAAGGTTTTTAAAATCTGGAATTTATTAGTTTTGTCAGTATTTTCCACTTCCACAGGATAATCTGTAAGCTGTGTGTCCTCTTAGCTTTATAATATGATCATAGTCATATTTTCAACTTGTCAATGCATTGACTTTTAATATAACACCATGTTGTATAAATACTTAATAATTCGCTGTTATTGGTGAAGTGTGTAATAGTGGAGATTCCGCATAACAGCATTCAAAATGAAATGAGTTGCACCTGACTTCAAAAACACTTTGGTGGCGTAAAAAATAATACCGTTGTTCATAGAGCGTAAGAGAAAAGGAAAATGTGCGTGCGTTAGCTAATGTTGCTTTGTCCTGACTTGACAGTTACTGTATTTTTAGCTTTTTTGGCTTTAAGTACTTTAGTTTTGGCTGGGAAAAGAGATCTCAACTTGCATTTTAAATGACATAACTCCTACTTAAGTATTTTTAAAAACCTAAATGGTTCCTCAAATACTATTCTCCAACAAATGTAACTTTAATGCCTGGCCTGGTATTTTTGCTCTTCAAGAAAGAACTATCTAATGTGAATTTGGTAAGAGCATAATACTTCTGTCTGGACGTTTTGACAAGAATCTTCATATTCAAAGAGGATGGTGACAGCTTCCTTGACTTCAGAGATTTTACAAGAATGTTTCTCCTGCTCAGAGCTGTATAGTTCAGTACTGCTAGCTTAGTCAGGGATGGGAAAAGGAGCCCTTCTGTTGCCACAGGTTAATAGCTCTTACACAGGCTTCAGCACACCCTTTGTGCCTAGTGAGCAGCTAGAGGAGCTGAAATATGATTCTTCGTATAGACTCTGGGCAGTAAGAAGCAAAAAACTTGAGAGGGATGTTTCTCAGTCTAGAACTTGCACTGACTATGGCAAAGATGACAGAGTATTGCTTTAGTGCAAGTAATAGTTGACCTGACCCTTAAAAATTTTTCCCAAGTGTGTATTTGGAAACTAGTATGTTGAAAACCTGTCCATTTCTGCTGGCGTTGTGTTGCTTTGTACAGCCCTCCTTGATATAGATGTTTTTCTAGTCTGATTATGTTATCTAGTTTCCTATTTGCAGAAAAGAAGCAAAGCTAGCTTGTCCAGGGAGTCTCTAGATGGGACTGAGTTTCTTTTTCCTATTATTGCTTCTCTTCTTTCATATGCATATATTGCTGCATTTTGTTCTTCTCTGCATAGTATTTTATGTAAATTGCTTCATGGGGCAGTTTGCATTTAAGCTTCTTAGGACTGCTGTCCCCTACACCGTTATGTGATTAGGAGTTGTGAATGAAGCTAAGTGAAACTTGATCTAGGTGTTTGAGTAATCCATGGTAAGGGGAGCCGGATACTGAGTGAGAAGCTGGTGGCTAAGTTGAGCCTTATCTGAGTCTGTAATGGGAGGGGGGAGGTGTTAAATCTTGAGGAAAATAAATCTTAGCTTAGATGGAAGTGAAGTGTAATTTATTGCTGTCGAAGAGGGGGAATGATGCCAGCTCTTCTTGGAAATTCTAGTAGAGACATTAAAACTTCACCAAGCATTTTTACGTGGTTAGAGGTGGTAGTTGTGGATGTTAGTGCTCTGTGTTCCCTACGCGTGTAGATTATCCTGGGGACGCCAGAGTACTGTGTGCTATGTGTATGTAAGCCTTCACAGTAGAAGAGCAGGAGTGGGAGCTGTTCTGGAAAGCTTTGGTGCAGCTGGCCACAGGGGAGAGCAGAAGGCTGAGAATCTGTGGCGTGTGCTGACGTACGTGCCTCTCGTCCTTTTTACTTGTTGGCTTGGGGCAGGAACAGAGGGAGCTGCGAGGGCTGGTGTTCTGCTTGGAAAGTAACTGCATGTAGTATCACCAAAGCTGATTTGAGCTGTTGAAGTATATGATGGGTACAAAATATGTGACAGTTAGATAAAGGCAGTTTTCATTCTTGCAAATAGCATTTTACAGGAACTCTGGAGCACCTTTTGGACAAAGAATAGTAGCGTTGTTTGCAAATGAGATTTGCGTACTACAACCTCTTTCTAAGTAACCTTCATTGTCACCTCTGTTCAGATCATGGCCCATCTGCGAAGACGCACTTACTGTGCAGAAAATGTTTACGTATGACAAAAGCAAACAAATATCTAGATTGCAGTTATGTGTGTACCAAAAAAGAGTCCTTTCTCTGTATCTTGTGTTCCTCTCCTTTCTTCCCGTTCTTTGGTGCTTCAAGATACTCATTTAAATACAATATAATGCAAATGATCAATCTGGCACACTGAAAGCTTACGCTATAAAATAGGCTTATAGTTTGTGTTTATGTACTACGCTGTACTTCAAAGGACTTCACAAGAAGAGAGGTTTTCTTTTCCTAACCCTCTGTGAAGTGGAAAGCAATCATATAGTAGCATACAGCAGTGTAAGACAGACTATTCTTTTTTTGAATGGTGAAGTTCACGATCATTCATGTTCTGTCTCTGCAGTTTGTAATGAGGGCTTAACCATACCTTCCAATCAGTAGGATGGGAAGAATAGTACTGTGCTCTTTTTGAAAGATAAGGAACTAAAGGAGTAAGTATTAAACCTGAGGAGGGAGGAATGACCATTGGAGCAAAGGCTGTTGTTGAGTGTTTTCTTCAGTGGCCACCGTAGGCTGCGCCAGCGGCACCTCTGGCAACTGTAGCCACTGAGAGGACTGTCATTCCCACTTCTGCTTTGCTTCCTCAGTAGTGCCAATCAACAAATTGTTCCTGGTTTCAAGTATTGCTTTTGGGCAGGGACGACTTTTAACTGGCATCATCTCAGTCATCTAACCAAGGGTCAGTGAGTTACGGTAGTGCTGGCACAGTGAGGGGGTGGCGGCTGAGGAAGGATACTTAAGAAAGCACTGTTGCGGGGGGAATTAATGTTGAATACCATTAATAAACCCTTGAAGAGAAGAGATTAATATCTAATAGTCCTTTGCCTTTCTGAAAATTACTCATTAGGGTCGGATGGTCTATAGATTTTGCAGCTACGAAAAAGGAAACTTTGAATAAGACAAATGTAACTTGTCCAAATGCAGCTGAATTTGATGGGAAGACTTTTGTATTGAGCATAATTGCCCAAACAGTCAGTGTCCTCAGCCCTATTTTCAATAGGCTATCAAAAGATGATCCTTATCTTCTTCTGAGATGCCATTTTATCCAGAAGTTGTAAGTGGTCGACATGATTTTCATGTATTTTTCACCTTGGGATTTGTCATCTATAATATTTAGTTGCATTAATGAATCAGTGAACCAATTTTTGAATGAAAAGGAAATGTGCCTCCTACTGCATCTCTGATGATGTCCTAATAAATTTAGGATATCTTTTACATTTTAGGAAGATCCCAATTTGACATGCTTTATGAAAAGCTCTGTGCTTGCTTTCTGTTCAGGCTCCTGACTTTGTAATTTATTAAGTGATAGCATGCCTATCATGGAATAATTGATAGGAAGAGAGGATAGAAAAGGAGGAAGAGGAGAGAGAATTTTTTTGAAAGTGCTTACTGATTTGAAATTACAAAGTCATCTTAAAAACTACTTTGCTTCAGCATTATTGTCAGTGGCAGTAAAGCTCAGTTTGTCAAATTAGTGCTGCTGATGCAGTGACTGCCAAATCAGTGTATTCCTCCTGGCATACTGTTTTTCCAATCAGCTCCGTTTTGCAGTGTCTCACATTTCACATTTTATCTTTAAAAGAAACTATTTGCAAAAGAACGGAAAATATTCACTAAATTAGGAAAAGTGTTTTGTATATAATGAAATGTTCTTAGCTCCAATCCACTGGTCTTGTATCCCTACTCTATCCTAATGCTGCAGCCTTTTTTACTGAGATCTGAAATAGGCATATCCTGGGTGAAGTTCTGTATTACTGCAAAAATGCCGTAGGATGGCATGCTCCTTGGCTGATGCATGGTTGGCTTTAGTAATCTTGATTTTTGCCCATGGGAAAAGCCAGAGTGGGGCAGGTATCCAATTTAGATAACTCTGGGACAGGCTATCTAAATTGGAAACCTCTACTGCTTGTGGCAGAAATTTCTCCACCACATTAGTGCATTTTCCTGCCTAAAGATTTATGTTAGAGGGATCTCAGAAGGAAGTCCCATTCTGGAGTTGGTATGGTAACGACCTTTAAAACTGCTCCTAGCCTTTTTTGCTTGGCTCATGGGCTAGAAGGGTTCTTGTTCCATTTTATACTCTTAACATGTTTTAAAAACCTGGCGTGATAGTATCTTAACAAAATATGCAAAAAACCACGTGAATCACTTACAAAAATTCTTGAGAGACCATAAGAAATTTTTATCATGAAATGTGATGTGTTACTCGGTTGTAAATTTAGATCAGATTACGATGTTTATTAATTGGGTCATATACCTGGTGCCAAGTTGCTAATAACGTGCATTTGATAAAATGATAACACTTGAAAATCTAGTGCTCATATTTAAGAACAGCTTACATCTTACAAACGTTGGACAACCAGAAACTAATTGTTGCAATTTAGTAGTTTTAAGCACACTTAGATCACGGAAGCATTTTACCTTTTATTATTTTCAGTATGAGTTAACTTAATATTTATTTCAGTCTTCATAGACCACTTGTTGTAATTCAGCACTTTTACTACGAGTCAGAGTTGAAAGCTATACAACCTTTTTCTTCTATAGTCCAAAAAAAAAAAAAAAGCCCCATTTTAAATGTTGTAACAAGTATTACACAGTAGGACTCTAGAGAATCTTCATGTGGATTCACAAAAATAAAAGGAAGGATTCGTTAGACTGTCAGAACTGTAGAGCCAGACTTAATTATGGTCTCTCTCTCTTTAGATCTCATAAATGGAGCCCAAGAACAGTGTGAATTGCCTCCTATGGATGGTTTTCCTCACTGTGAAGGGAAAATAAAGGTAAGTATAGTCTGTTCTTAATCTCATTATGTGTGTTCTATTAAAAATTGAGTATGTGTTGCACGAAGTCGCTACTCAAACAGTGGTGTAAAATAGGAACAACTGAGTGAAGAAAAGAGGGTATTGAAGAGTGTGGGTCACTGCAGCTCTGCCGACCTCAAGTATTTGTAATAAACTGCTACAGAGAAACATAGCTGCATCCTATTAAGACAGGTATAAAATGCCATGTTATATTAAAAATATTTATATTAAAATGCCATATTATAGAAGAAATGCCTTAGTATTATTTTGCTCTCTTGTTATCTAGACCATTGGGATTTTTTTCCTCATTTTTTAAAAAGCACGGTCACCTTTCTTACCCATTATATGTTTGAGGTTCCCCTACACTAGGACTGGGATTCTGTGTGCAGCACACTCCAACCCTGTCTGTGCTTTAGCTGGACACTTCCTTCCCCTCCTTAGCTAACAGCTTTGTCTGCTTCTTCCGTTCATTTTTTCTCTTAAAAACATTCTACCTGGTCTCCTAACAAGCTGAGCACCACACGTTCCCTGCCTCCTTATCATTATTCTTTCAGCCCTGGGTAAGAAGTTATTTATGATGCCAACACAGGAGAAGCAACAAGGGTCAGATGGGATTTTGTTACGTTGCCAGTCAGCAACAGGTGCTAGTTTTCATTGCACAGTTTCCTTTTCCCTCTGTCTCCCAACATCAGCAGGGTCTGGTCTTTGAGATCTAAAATATTTTGGAATTGATCATGTCATTTAAGTTTATTGCATTACAGGTAGAAAAGTACTGTCCTGCTCAGAGTGACACCTTTTGTGAATTTTCCCAAAAATTCCATTTGGGAGGAAAGCTTTAAAAAAAAATCCGCTAAACCTGTGAATAAGTGTGCAGCCAGAACTTTGGATTTGGTGTTCACAACTGATTATACATAAATTTTGTATTTGATTAATAATTATTTTATATGAAAAAGTTATTAATAATACAGCTGGAAAGCCACCTGGAAAGCTAAACATTGAAAGCCATCAAATTTTGGTTGGAAAGGAAAAAATAAACTTCCAGAGGTGGAGAACTATCTTTTTCATGGTATATAATTTGAGGTCTAGTAAGACTGCACCAGTAGTTGGAGACAAAGTTAAAATTGCTAGGTACTTAAATATGATTATCAAATATTAAGTTTTATTTCTGAAAATGGAAACAAATAACTGAAGTATTGCAGTATATGTGAAAATTTTTTTCTCTTAAAATACTTGGAAATAGTGTTTAAAATCTGGAAGTGTTAAATCTTTAGTCAATCTGTTGATCAGTTTTGACAAACTGGCTCCATAGTGGTTACATAATACATCACTTGAATGTTAAGACGTGAATTTAAGTCGATTATTTGTTTCTGCAGAAATGGCAAATTTAGAGTCTTTGTTACCTGAACTGCTCTGTTAAACTCCAGAGCAAGTGTAATAATCGAGAGGGCAATGAAGGCAACTCCAGCCACACCCGTACGTGTGATTCCTGATCATATTTGCCTTTTGGTGTTGCCCTGGCTATCAGTTTGTGTAGATTCTGCTCATCGCTGGAACGTAGCTACTTCCCCAGCGTAGCTGAACGCAGAGAAGCAGTATGCTGCAAAACGTTCAGAAAATTCCTTTTGTGTCATTGGCGGTTTTTTGGCTGGTTGGCTGCGGTGTCTTGCAGCTTTGCCGTGTTACTTCTGAGTTGAATGTGAAATAGTATTTTAGTACTTAAACCTCACAGACTGCATTCTTGTTTTCTTTCAGTGGATGAAAGATATGTGGCGATCAGATCCCTGCTACGCGAGTTACGGTGTAGATGGGTCCACGTGCTCCTTTTTTATTTACCTCAGTGAGGTCAGTAATCTTTTCATCTGTATAGTGCTCTGTATTTATTGGTAACTGCTTGCAAGCATTTCTCGCAAGAAGTCATAATTTTCTTAGGGAGAATTCAATAAAGAGGAAAAACCGTTAAGCAGAATTGTACCCAGGTATTTCTAGCCTGCAGAATTCTGATGTTAGTTACTGAATTGATACAAACAGCAACTGACCAGTGAATCCACATTAGAAATCCTGTTTATTCTAAATGTGAAGCTTAGTCATAGGTCCTTGCCTCTGGACACTTTCTCTATTGCTTTCCTGGTAACTCCTAAAGTAGCAGGAAGTAGAAATTTTAGGGGAGCTGATTGGAAGTTTGGGAAGTACTTAGAATATGAAACTAGATGATATATCCTCCTAGGAAGCATGGCCACTTCCTGCTTGGAGTCTGTTCATGAATGGTAGGGTCTCTTATCAACATAAATAAATGTATCACCCGAAAGTGACCTTTTTGAGTGAAGTTGCAGATAGATTGGCTAGAGTTATTAATACCTATCAGAACCAAAGCCCAGATTTATAAGCAGCTGAAGTGCTTGCCCTTTTTTGTACAGCTTTCTTGTTTCCTGAGTAACACTTGTTTTCCAAGAATGGATTTTGTCAATCAGAATTTATTTTGAGCTTTTTCACTGGCTTCTGGTATATGCCAGAAAAGGTCATACATGTTTGGTCACTTGACTTCTTGCTGCTTATTAGCAAAATTATGATAACTTATAGCAACTGATATTGGAAGCAGTGTTGATAACTAATGACTTACTGCTTGTAAATAACTTTGAGATCTAAAGAGGTTGCAGAACTGCAAAGTCATATTGATTGTTGTAGTTTTTGCATGATTTAGGGGTAGGAGTTGTTTCTTAATTATGTATTTGAGATTAAAGCAGTAGGTCTGTTACTTAAATAACTCGGTTGTAATGAAAGAAAACTCTGTTAATTTACTCAGCACTAGTCAAACTTTTCAGGGCATTGCTTTAAGAAGCAGTAATAGTTAAATGCATATCCATGATACGTAGCTGAAGAAATAAAAAATTAGATTGTTAATCATAAATTTGACTCATTACTTTGCTAGCACTTTGTGTTGATGTATTTATGAGCTATAAAGCTGGGGAAGGAAAAAAGTACAGGATGACTATACCATTTACCCTCTTACTTGTCCCAGAAGTTGGAGTATGGTTTCATGATCATTTGACGTTGATCTAAGCTTCAACTAAAAGGTTATGTTTTGGCATCAGTGCAATTATGTTTGTGCTGAAGCGTTCTGTCAACCAGTTGATTCTCTAGCTTTTTTATGCAGACGTCCCTTAAAAAGGAGGATTGTCAGCTGAAAGTGAGAATTTACTATTCTTAAATGACATACCCTTATTATTTTGTATTGTTATTAAATCACAATTTTCTGTGACAATTTTCAAAATTAGTGATCAAATATAGAAAACTTGGTAGGTGCCATTAGTTTTTTCATAACTGAACTTTCAGTTCATCCTCATAGTGAAATGCGAGCAGACCTTGCTCTTAATGTGACTGATATTTCAGAATGCAGATGTTGATAGTGTCGATACTGATAACTGATGTACCTAAAAGGTGGTTATAACATCACACTCTCCCAGTCCAAAACTGAGAGCAAGCTGTTTCTGAAGTACTCTATGCATTGACAAAAGGACTCTCATCCCTTTGAGAAAGGGATTCAGTTTTAAAGCATAGTGATAGATTCTACTCTAAACTTTCTTCATATTTTTACAAAATAATTGGAGTCCTTTATTAGGCTGGAACACAGTTACAGCAGCAGGCGTCATGTTTGAATCATTTTGTTCAACTCAAAGGCTTTTAGGGGGATTTTTGATCAAACTTTTCAGTACCATGGTGAAGTAGGGAAAAAATATTATTAAAAGCTCTATATTTGCTCATTTTATTACCTGGTAACTTCAAATACTATATCATGTCAGTTGCAAAACAGTTTACAAAAAGTCTGTCCTTTCAGGAAATGCCATGGGCTTGGGGATTTTTTGCTTTTGTAAGTTTGCAACTAGCAGGAAGTAGTGTGAAGAAACTTTATTTTCATCTTGTTAAGTGTTACAAGAGGATTCACTAGGCTGCTTTGTTTTTAGAGTGCTATGAAATAAGTTTGTCTCTATTGGAATAATTTTTCTAAATTGCTTACTCTGTGTATAAGGTAATATCAAGTATTTTCATAAATATTGTAGTTGTAGAATGTGTTTTAATATTTCAGTCTATCCTTGTAGTTAATACATTATATGAAGTATTTTGAAAGATTAATATTACTTCTTTAAACTCAAAGCCAGGATACATTGTACCAAATAAAATATCTAATGCATTAATTAGAGGAAATGTTGTTTTTCTAGTGTAAGTGCTCCCTCAATTTACAGACGTGCAATGGTTGATTATTAAAGGGTTTAGGGATTTGAAATTTTTCTTTAAGCAGCAATGCTGAATTTGTGCCGTTTCTTGTTTCTTAATGAAACAATGGTACAATACTTCATCTATGTGTATATTTGCGAGCTGCAGACAAAGGTCTTGTGGTTTTTTTTTTTTTTTAACGTTTTCCCATGACAGAATGTAAAACTAATATTGGTTGAGGGTGTTATTAACCCTGAGTTTAAATTCAGCGTTCTTAATCCTATGATTAATGGCATGATTAATGCCCAGCAGCAGAGGTTGGAAAGCTTAAATGTTTGCAAATGCAAGCATGAAATGAAATTCTAATAACACTACAATGATGTGGATTTATGAGGTGTGTTGACTGCTAAGGGTAACTTGGAAATGCTGTTGCAAGAGTAATTTGTCAAAGTGGACAGTGATGAAGAATTGACAGTTTATGGTGTGGTTGCACAGCTGAAGGATAAACGTGCCTGCAGAGCTCTCAAGTGAAAACTAATGGTTTAAAATATGAAAATGAATTTGGGTCCAGGAAGGCTATTAATGTTTAAGACTCTTCTATTTTACTTTAAGATTAAAATATAGTAATGAAATGATTGTGTACACATCCTCAGTTTGAAAATAAACAAACTATGCATATATCTACCTTTGTTAAAATCACTTCTGCCAGTCTGGTGTGACAAGCACCTGTGTTCTTCCGTACTCTTTTGGGAGGTACTTTTTTCCTGAAGCAGCACATTTAAAATATTGTGTCACACTCATCTAGCACTCTTTGTAAAGCAATTTCAGACTTGTGAACAACAGGGCCCAAATATCCCATTTTGTCTTAGAGAATGTGGCATTACCTCAGAGAGGCAAAGTAACTTGCCCAAGGTTTATGCAAAGATTTAGAAACAAAGCTGGGAATAAAAAGCAGTCTTTGTGTATCTGTCATATGTCTCTTTGCTTTACACTGTTGCCCTGTGTGTCTACAGAATAGAAACAGCACAGTCAAAATGCAAGCTGCCCCAGGTCATCTTTTCTGCAAACTCTGCACAAATACGAGTATTAGCAGTTCTGCCGCCTCTCATTTGCTTTTGACAGCACCCTTGCAGGAGCATAAGTATTAACAGCAGCTAGCTGAACAGCTCTTTTCCACTTTGGCTTGCCTACTTAGGCAAAGTCAGAGGCAAACATGGCAGGAGCAGGAAAGCAAATAGCAGTTTAATGTAAAGCTGTGACCTGTACAGACTTGCGGATGTGCAAAATCTGTGCAGCTTTGTCTGGCTGTTTTGCTGCAGACACCAGCTCGCTCCTCCAGCCTGCTCCTCCAGAGCACTGCGATCGTGCTGGAGCCTTTGAAAGGCTGGAGGAGACACAAATATGTTGAATAACAAAACCAGCCTTGTATGCTCGCAAATGACAGAGCAAGGCAGCAATGAGAAATAGGAAAATTTGAAAAGCAAGTTAAATGCTCTCTGAAGTTTCTAGGTAGTTAGGACCACCTTTTAGTTGTGATACAAATGTGTCTATTGAGAAGAACTATTTCCTTTTCAACTTACTTTTCGTTATGAAAAAGCCAGCTGCCTAACGCTGTACTGCCATTGGCATCGTTCTTTTCATAGATGGCATTGTCTCTGGGGAGAGGAATGTGAATAAATGAATTTCTAGGCAGGCCAAATTTATTTCATTTCAAAATGTCAGTTTGCAGCCAAAAATGATGTTTTTAAAAATATCTTCTGGAAAATAAATGTTAATTTGCACACTGTTTCCCAGCTTAACCAAAAAAAGTTCTTACGGCTCCCTTTCTCTCCATCTGTGTACTCGCTTCCTCCGAGAGGAGCGCCTGCTGCGCAGGAGCAGGATGGCTGCTGGGGGGGGGGCAGCCGGGAGCTGCAGTGCAGGTTGCCGCGGCCCCGGGAAGCTCCCCGTCTTCCTCCCTCGCGGGCGTGCTGAGGGGCCATTACGTTGGCACGTGAGTGCTGGAGCTGGGCAGATTTCGTTAAAACCCTGGGCTTTGGATCTCCTGGCTCAGCTTTCACAGGCAAGCATAACATTTGGTACCCTTCTTGAAAGTGGATGTAAGGCTTCAGAAGGCCAAAGCTGTTTCGGAGGCAAGTCGTCGAGACTCCTGTAGCTTTTGCCTGTTCCCTAATGTACCCACTTGGGAAAGTTCTTGTTTTCAGTTCTGCCAACTTGAAGGGAGCAGAATGCATGCTTGTTGCAGCAGGCAGTATTTTTCTTTATGCTGTTCCTCTCGCTGTGAGGGATCAAGCAGAAAAATATAAACTGGAGACAATTCTGGGTGCGTTCCGTTTTCAGAATATGAGCTGTAGTTCGAGGCACGTTTTAGTTTAAAAAGAAAAAAAAAGCCTGGAAATCACAATTAGATCGGTTCCCCACATCCTTGAAATATGGCTAGTTCCTGCAGCTTGCTAGGTTTTTTTTTATATGGAAGTCCCATTTCCAGCACTTTTGTAAGCTAATTTCTAGCACTGAGATGAGTTAGTGATTTGCATTTCTTCAGTGCAATGTAATATCAAACCACGATTACTCAAAAACTTGACAAAACCAGTATTTTCGTCTGAAATGTGAAGCAGTGGAAGCTGGAACCA